GGCATGGAGAAGGCCGCGACTAGTGTGGGTGGATACATAGACCCCCTCTTCCTCCCTTCTTCCTCTTACTATCTTCTCTCTTTTTGAGTATCTAAAATATCGAAAACTCAAGATGATGATTGGATGGCTGCGCCGTCTTCATGTTTAAAAAAACCAAAGCCCCCGATCAATGTGTCTGCCTCTCTTCCTCCTTCAATTTCTTGGCACCTTCTCCAAACTTGAGTACTCAAAGCACCAAAAACTCCACACAACCCTGCCATGTGTGCGTCGTCTTCTCAAAAACGCAGCTGCAGCCAACATGAGCAAGTGCCTGCCTCTCTTCCTCTCTCCGTCATTTCGATGTCTTCTCCATACTTGAGTATTCAAAATGTCAGTAAACGCATTGCATGGCTGCGCCGTCTTCTCCAAAAAACTACAGAACTTTTGCCTATGACTCTGCGTTCGTTCCTCCCCTTCGAGGAAACATCGAAATTCGTTCACAACGTTCACATGAGGGAAGCCTCTTCCTCCGGCGATACATCAAATACTCGCTCAAACTCGAGCGTGAAGAGCACCTTCTCCTCTGAGTTGCAAGCTGCAGGAACAAAAACATAACATCGGAAGGTATATGTGTCCGCGGTCCAGCGCGAGCCTTCAAACATCAAAATCCCCGTTCAGCATACCGATGACTTCTTCCAAAGACTGGCTCACATGTCCTTTACTTCTATGTCTGCGGTTCTCTCCACCTCTTCATCTTCAAAATCTTAGAACGATAAGCCAATGGCCCGTGCGAAAGTAGCACCGCAACGAAAGCATGAGGCTTTGTTGAAAGTCCAGCGTCAGCACATACTCGATCAAAACACTAAAATTCAAAGTTATGCTATCGAAAATTGTCCACAAAATCGTCATCGTGAAATCGTATGATCCTGCCGGTGGCATAAGAACTCTTCAGTCACCCTTACAAGTTGAATTTGACTGAGAAGGATATCATGGGCTAGATATGATGTGGAGTGATGATGATCATCATCACTATCTCGTCCTTGTGACGAGACAGCAGCTCGATCAATATAGCTACCAATAAAATGATGTCATACATCAATCACACATCGCCATCGGAACAGCAGTGCAATTATACTTTTTATTATCAAGCGCATACTAAGCTACGTGAGACGCCATCCATCCATCCCAATTCCGAAGGAATAAGAAAAACTACAAGACCCTCCTCAAGCCTACCAGGAGGTCGCAGAGGGGATATCGCCGTGATGCTAATGTTACAGGTTTCCATTTTCCGCCTATCCGTACGCAGATCGTAAGGTCGTGAAGTGACGCGTATGGCAGTCATATCGAGAGAAGATATGACCGAACGCTACTTGTCGGTTGTTGTGGTGTGCTTACAACTCCTGCTTAGCAGAGCTGGCGCTAGCGGCGGCGGCATCGTATCCGCTCTGGGCAGACTTGGAGGCAACCGACGACGCGCTGGAAGCAGAGGATGAGGCAGCGGCGTTAGCGCTGGCAGCAGACTTGGAGATGGAGGAAGAGGATGAGGACGCGGCCTTGCCAGCAGCACCGCTGAGGGAGCTGGCGCTGGAAGCGGCGCGGACGGAAGCAGAGCTGGCGCTGGATCCAGCAGCGTCGGTAGCGGAGGTAACACTGGCCTGAGCGAGACCGATCTGCTGCTTGATCAAGTCGGTGTAGTAGGCGAAGCCACCGGTGGCAGCGGCGTACTGTTGGCCGACGTTGGAGGTAGCAGCACCGTAAGCGGAAGCACCAGAGGCAGAGACGGAGCCGGCAGATGCAGAGGCGCTGTCACCGTAAAGGCGGGCGCGGTGCTTGCGGGCGAGAGCGATGAGCTCGTTGCGCTTGGAGCCCTGGGGAACCTTGATACCGTTCTTGTCAGCCCACTCCTTGATCTGGCTGTCAGACCAGGAGTCGAGAAGGGCGTCGCTGAGGCTTTGCTGGGCGTTGGCAGCAGCGGAAGAGACGGAAGCGTAGGCGCTCTGGGACTGCTGGCTGGCAAGACGAGACTGGCGGCGGAGAGCAGCGATCATCGAGTCGCGGGTGTTGGGCTGGGGAACGTTGTAGCCGCGCTCATCGAACCAAGACTTGAGGTCAGAGTCAGACCAGGAAGCGTAGAGCCAGTCACCGGGGTAGTTGGCAGTCTCCTTGGCCTTCTCGGCTGCGGACTGGTAGTTGTTACGGACGGCAGCGAGGAGAGAGTCACGCTGGCGGGGCTGGGGGACGGGAATGCCGTGCTTATCGGCGAAAGCCTTGAGCTGGGAGTCGGACCAACTGCAGGTCGTTAGTACCTGTGCTAAGTGTAGGTTTCTGGGTACTCACGAATCGAAGATCCAGTCCTTGACACTACCATAGGCCTGGTTCGCGGAGTCCTCGGTCTCGGTCCAGTACACCTTGACCTGCTCAGCGAGGCTCTTGGCGTCCTTCTCGGTGCCCTTCTTCGCCTGCTGGCCCTTGAGGGTCAGGTAGTTCTGGAGCGTCTGCGCATCCCAGCTGGTGTAGGGAGTGACAACCTTGTCATTCCAGTTGGCCTTGACAGTCGACTGGAGGTTCTTGCGGTCAGAGGGGCTGGGGTGGGGAACGCCGTGGTCGCTCAGCCAGCGCTCAAGCTCGGTCTCGTGCCACTTGTCGTAGACTGCTTCCTGGCGTCAGTATACTGCTGCATGGCGCTGTGGACAAATCAAAACAAACGGGAGGGGTTATGTACTATACGCACCGGCGCTTCCAAACCAGCTGTTGGCCGTTGCCGTGGCAGCAAGGGACACCACGAAGGTGGATGTAAGGGAGAACCTCATGATGTGTGGCTGCCGATGTGAGGATGTGCTTGATATCGATTAATGAAGCAAAGACGAGGGTTTGAAGGGTAGGCAAACTCGGCAGAGGGGGTGAGGGCTAGAGGGTAGTGGTGGGCAGCGAGTTTATGAGGGGAGGGAACAGACAATGGCGGGTAGATTGTGTGCGTGCGAGTGACGTAGTGCTGCACGTATGGAGCTTGGGCAAACAAGATCCCCAACGCGCCTGCCTCGTAGAGCAGCCAATGAGGAGCTATGGCCACATGCAACCGCGTCTTTTGGCTGTGCGCAATTGTGAGATCGCCTTTCAGGAGCCGGTCTAGGCCCTGCATATGCTTGACGTTTTCGCAGTAAGAGAGCTCCGAGGCCTGTCACTCTTGTTTACAAAGGCAGAGAGCATCATTGTGGCACAAGTCGTGCGAAATAGCGCCCCTCTGCCGGGCGTTGTGTCGCGATGGCATTTCAAAAAAATCCCATCACGTCGACAAATGCGGGGGCGATCCACACGCTAGCCCCCTACGTCATCCCCAAACATGCACAAAACTTATGAAGCCAAGCCTACTTTCAGCGCCCCGACGATAGATAGACAGCACAAGACACGTTGTTCATGGCAGCTCATATTTGATGAGTGTTGTACATTTCAGGAGACTTCTGCGAGTCAATTCCAGCTAGTTATACACCATGCTCATCGTGTCCGAACATTCACCCGCCCCTTGCTTATCCTCGTACGCCTTCGGAGCCGCTTCGTCCACCTTCGCCTGTAAATGTGTTAGCAACATGCCAATGCCCTTCGTCAAGCTATGACATACCTTTCCAGAAGCCGCCGGGGACTTTGTCCTTCTCTGCCTCTTCGTTGCTAACCTTCTCATGCGCCTGTTCCGCCCTGTTATCCATGTCCTTGTTGTGTTGCTTGACGTCCTCGCTCTGCTCTTCAGAAGCCGGCGGGTTTTCGTTGAGTATTTTGGGTTTCGCACCTTTGACTTCGTTGGGCGAGGGCTTGTTGTCTTGGCCCTGCTTGACGGCTGGCTCTTTGTTGTCCTTCATCTGGCGGGCCGATGTTGAGAACTCGCGCTTGCCGGAAGAGCTCTTAGGAGCCGGTGACTCGGATGTAGGCTTGGGAGAGTCATTCTGGCTGGCGTTGCTGTCCTTGTTCGGCGACGACGAAGATTTGCCCTGAGCGACCTTGGGAGGTGCGGGGCCGGGGTGCTCGAGGTTCTCGCTGGGGTTGGCGCCCTGCTTCTCGGGCTTCTCTCCAGCTGGGTTGCCCTTACCAGAGCCGTAATCTGATGTCGCGAAACGAACTTGGACGCGGGCACGGGGAGCCGCCGAGAGGGCTGCGGGCCGTAGTGCTGCCGAGCGCAGCATTGACATGGGTCGTAGGAAGCTCATGATGTGAATTGGTGAGATGCAATTGAAACTGACAAAGATACCTGTGTTGTGAGGTGTGTAGTTTAAAGTTGAGGTTGCCCGCCAAACGTAGGGTCTAGAGCTGCAATAAGTCCAAGCTCGTTGTTGACGTCATGGTTTCCTCAAGTGCTAAGCTTCCAGCCGCAACGCACGTCACAGGAGGCTCGCATAACCACATCTGCAGTGCCGCAGCGACGATCAGCTAGCCTCTCAAACACCAGCCATTCACACGATACTGCACTTCAGCCGCTGTTTAGTGTAGATAAGACCTTGTTTGGGGGACTTTGAAGCCTGTTATGGTGACGGAGAGGCGCATTGCATCTCAAGCGTCTCTTCGGCATGAGCAGAACACATGCCAATGGCTTGCGATAACGCGGAGCGAGCAGCGAGCCATTACTACTGGGACGACAATCGCCGGCATTTGCACAAAAGACTCGTAGTTCCAAGAATGAGCTATCCTACCACTCACAATAAACAACAATATGAACCCTCCTCTCTAGACCCGGATATTGACAATCCGTGATATCATCAGGGTTGTCTTTCTCATCAGCCTTCTTACATCCCACAGTCTTCCCCAATCCCATACTAGGACAATGGAGCACACCCGGGTTAGTCCCATCACTCAGGTATTCACAGTCCTCTTCTCCGAACAGTGGCATAGTGAAAGTGCCGTGCGGCCACGGCGGGTTTGACAGGGCTGAGGCATCGGACCATTGCCGCGAGACATCGTTGAGGACGGGCACGCTGCAGCCATCCGCTTGGGTGTTGGGTTTGATCTCGAAGAAGGTCCAGTTGTTGTAGTCTTCGTCATTGCCTTTTGTGTTCCGGAAGATCACCGATAATGCCTTCGTCGGAGGCTCGGTTTGAGGTGGCGGCGGAGATTGCGATGCAGAGGATGGCTTGGGCACTGCTGAAGGTGTTTTCGTCGTGCTGGGCTGGGCCGGTTTCCACGTAAGAAACGGAGTCTCCGACGTCAAAGAAGACTTTGAAGTTGGTGATGATCTGGCTATCGACGAGGGCGGTGGGCTTGGATTTTCGCTGGTTGAGTCGCTCAATGACGGCCTGATCGTTGTCTGGAAGGTGGAAGGAGTAGGTACGGTCGAAGCTGGTGATGAGATGGGTGATACCGAGGATACCGACAAGCTGTTGCTAGGTCGAGCACAAGTGTCGCCATCTTGACGTTTCATCAAAGCCTCGTACTCTTTCCACTCTGCTTCGTCCGCATCCGTCACCTCTCTTCCTCTGAGCAAGCGCAGGTCTTTACCACTGGATGCGACGGACCGTTTCTTTGCCTGCACAACCTGATCTGGGAATGGCTGCCATGTGTCTCTATAACGGTAGGTGGGAGCATCCTCAAACCAAAGCTCTATCGCCGCAACTTGCTGCTGATTGCAACCGCCTTCTGCTGGTACGCGAGCGGCTGTCACGGGGTCATATTGAATGTAAAGCTTGCCTTTCGGGGTCAGATCATCCCGATTATTTTCCTCAGCCGGAGAGTAGGGTATGATTACTGCGTCATTCCGTCCAAGGATGTTGTTTAACAGATTTTTGATCTTGTCTACTTCGTATGGATAGTTAATGTCGTCACTGGCCGGGTTGATAGCAAAGTCTCTATACGGCGTAATGATGAACGCACGTACTTTGTTCTCTGCAATGTTTTCGAAGCCTTCGCCGGGCACAGTGAAAACTGTAAGAGGGTGGGAAAACTCCGGACTGCCATTTCGGAGAACATCCAATACCTCACTTTGGAAAAGCTGTGGCTGTTCCATGGAAGGTTTTTCCCAGATGTGGGTAAGAAACATGCGTTTGCGGGAGATGACCACGACGGATGTGCAACCCCATAGGTTGACCAGGTGCCAATCGTCCGCTGTATCTTCCAGTGGGAACGACAGCCCAGTCGTTCCTCGGCCCTGTTCAAGAGAGCCGTAAGGGTTAAGGCTATCCTCGATCTGATCAAGGAGCCATGCCCCAACATCGCCTGATAGAGTTAGTCGACGTCAGTGGAAGCTGAGTATTACATATGGGCGATGCATGTCAGTAGCTTCCAATAGCTTTAAAAGGATACAACCAGCTATGAGACAAGTCACATACCGTTGTGTTCAGGCCCATAAGGGCTCGAAAGACTTCGCTTCGAGACATGACTAGTAGGGTGGCCGGTTTCCACTGGTGCAAGCCCTTCCGCGCTCAACTGAGGGTTGCGGAAGTGCGATACAGCAATGGTCGTGGTTGAGGAGATAGCAGTGCTTTCAAAAGCTGTGGGAAATTCGGTCGGTGCAGGTACGCTAGTCGCCAATCTTCGCACCTTTCCATTACAGTTGTCGCAGTCGGGGGCACATCTCTGTCTAGTAGCCGTTGTTGTAGACGTAACCGTGGATGAAGAAGTGGAACCAGTAACATCGCATTTGGTGATGGGTGCACCGCATACTGTGGTGCAGACATCACCTTGCGCCCGCTTGTTTGGCCCTCCTTTGGTCGTAGTTGCAGTCGCTGTACACGCAATGTCGCAGTTGCTAACGGTCGTTAGAGTGCATGTAGAGGAGGAAGTCTGCGTAGGTTCTTCAGTCTCTGACACTGAGTCAGAGGGCTCGGAGGCTTCGTCTGGAACCACTTCGTTGAGAGCATCGAGCAACGGCTTGAGGTCATCTTGTAAGCCCTTGACAGTATCCACTGCGGCTGTCGTTCCGCCGATAACTGCATCCTTCACCTTATTGGTAGTGTTGATGACACAGTTGACGAGCGAGAATGCTGTCTTGAACAACCCGCCGAGTAAATCGCGCTCACTGAGAACATCGTGCAATTCATGATTTCCTTCGCTTCTTCGGCGTTTTCCAGACCCACATGGCTCAACTCCGTCTGTTGGCTTTGGTAGCTTGGCCAAGAAGCCAACTGCGTCGGGTATGATATTGTCCAGCTCGTCTGTCACCTCGGTGACATGAGCGACAGGATCTTCTATCCAGTTTTGGAGAATAGGAAAAACGCCCAAGATGGCTATGGATAGATCCGACGCACTCGACTGGACTTCGGTTCCAGTGGGTACCAAGGTAGTTACTGGCAAAGGAGGAATGGTGATTCCGGGAGGAAGTACTGGGCTATTTGATGTTTCGAGTATTGTTGAGGCAGTGTTGGACGCTGAACTGACTACAGTAGGCTGTACGGTTGGATAGAGGCTTGTATCACCACTGGTTGTAACTCCCGTAGAGGAACTTGATATAGTCGTTATATTGCTAGCACTAGATACCGCTGGTGGAAACGTGGCAGTACTCGACGTGACTGGAGATGGAGTGTAAGACGAAGTGATAGACGAGACTAAAGGGTGGCCGGAAGGCTGGGGAGAAGTAGTAAGTCCTCCAGTTGAGGCCTTCGACGAAGATGCAATTGTGCTGGTATACACGACGGTATCGTTCGTCTGCGTCGCCAAAGAGAGACTAGTGAACGAAAGGCTCGAGGAAGCCGTCGTATGTGGTCCATTGAGTGGAGTGGAAGGTTTGACGATAGTGGTGCTTGTGCTGTTGGCCGGCACTGGAAATGGGGCCTGACTCTGGAAGATCACGCTGCTGCTTCCGGTACCTGTACTGATCTGTGCCTCGATGAAAGCCGAATGGGAGAAAAGCAAAGCAAATGCATTACCGCGGTGTAGGAGTTTCATGACGACGTAGTGATGCAGGAAGAATGGAACGATGGGGAGAGTACTTTGAACGCTCCTAGAATCATGATCTTTGTTCAGCTTTATGTGTCATCTGGATGGTCAGCGTGCTTGCGCTTCCATCCACCTACAGTCCAATTTAGATATTCTTGCATACGCTCCATGTAGTAATTTGCTACATGTCCGAAGCGCTTGCAAACGATTGTCGTTGATGTTCTAAAACCGGGACTCAGGACACGTATTCTGCCTTGGGTCTCGCTGTCCATTTCTGCGCCGCGAAGCAGCGGTATTCCGAAGGTGCGATGTTGTCAGACCGACCAGCGAATCCAAGCAAAGACAGAGACGGATGTTTGGTCTCCGAAGAGGTTTTGGCCCGTGGCGTAGCGTCATACTCTGTCTAGACGAGACGCTGATGGCCATGGGGGCTGATTTGACGATGCAATTCACCATGTTTGTGACTTGTCTGACGTTACTGTACCAGCGTTATGCCAGGTGTACTTCGAATGCGAATCCACTAAATGGAGTGGTAGAGTTAGGAGAGGGAGATGTCGACGTTGAACAGAAGGAAGCGATTCGAAGGTGACGAGGATGAGTGCGACTGCCACTTACAGGCCGCACGGACGACCACGAGTCTGGCGCTAGCCCCATGGCGACCCCAAATGGCCACCCATCGTTTTTGGGTAGTATCTGAAACAGTACGCCGCATACGCCGCATGATGACGGAAATCCTACGGGGGGCCAGTCACATGTATTTATATCGCGATCGCGACTGAGCGAGCAATCGAAACCGTCGCTTGATCTCACCACCCCGCTACGTTCCTCACCTGGGCACACTGTGCACCACCACCTGATCTCACCATGCCGCCGCATGCCGCGCGTGCTATTACCAAGAACTCGGAAACGGACTCGTACTACCCAATATTTCTGCAGTCGTGCGAGGATAATGACGCGGCCATTGCCTTACAACTGGCACCGGATCGCGAGCTTGGAATGTTGACATATGGTCTCAACCGAGCTGTTGAACGCGGACATCTCGCCTTAGCCAGCCAGCTACTTGAATTAGGTGCCAAATGGGATACGCGCACAGTGCATCTTGCATCCAGATCCCACGAAACAGTGAAGTGGTTGATAGAGTCTGGTTACGACGTCAATACCAGCGTAGCCCGCGGTAATACTCTCCTCCTGTAAGTCTGCACGGTAACTGCAACTGCGTTAACTAGCTTATTGTGATTAGATTCGTTGTTCAAGAAAACGACGAACCGAGCATTCGACTACTCCTCAAACTAGGAGCGAACCCCAACCTCGGGCCACCGAAGAAGATAACAGCGCCAGCGATGAATATGCGTCCCATATCCAACTGTGGTCACATACTCAATAGCGCAGCCGTACACTGTAGCCCAGAGATATTCGCTCTATTGCTCGCTCATGGTGCTGTGCTATCCAACTCTACACCGCTCCACCGTGCAGCGGGTAGTATAAGCGACAACAGAATTCCAATGCTTGAGTATCTCGTCGGAGAGCTAGGCCTCGACATCCACGGTATGGACAGTGGACCACCTATACCAGACGAGTGTTGCGGACGCGAAGGCACATCACTGCACTGTGCTCTCCGCCGGAAGCGATACGAGACGGCTAAATGGCTACTGGAGCATGGTGCCGACCCCGACAAAAGCGACTCGTTCGGGACGCCAGCAAGAGCATTGATGAGGCGCCTCCCTGATGACAACGAGCTTGTGGTTCTGCTTCGGGAGCATCGAAAGAACACTAAGTCCATCGCGCACTTCTGAGGACTAAGTTGGACTGCCGGAGTCAGATGGATGTGTCATTGAGTTCGATAAAATTGTACCATTAGCAATCATGGTAGCAAAGACACCCAAGGTACGGTCAACCACAGTTCCACTTCGTGGATGAAGGTTAGCCTGCGTACTCGGACATTGATTTCGGATCGGGCTGGAATGGATGCGGTAGTAGTACCATTGGCAATTTACTTTTGCAACAATCTAGCAAAGAAAGTTACTAGTACCTAGCTCACCGAAGGTAGACTACTGCACACGCTTAACACGTTTCCTGCTACCCTCCAGCAATTCATCCTTCCCATCTTCACCATCTCCTTCACCGCACTCCTCAAATTTCCTCTTAACCCCCCTCAAAACCAAACACCTCACCTCAGGCGCCACACCCCCACCCCCACCCACCATCCACCCCCTCCCCCAAGCCCTCTCAAACCTCCACCCCTCTCTAAACACCACCACCCCCTCCCCTTCATTCCCCCTCCCACTCGGCCACCCCTCCCTCTCCCACCTCTCACTCGGCACCTCACACCCCTCCCTCAACCCCTGTACCACCCTCTCCCACCTCGCAACAGTAGCAGCATAAACCGCCGTACCCCTAGTCTGCATATCCCCAACAATCTCCCTATACTTCGCCTTATCAGCTACCAACCGCCTCACCCACCCCTTGTCCGCTTCCACCGCCCCGTAAAACGCACAACTGGAAGCGTAGGGACGGAGGAGGGGGCATGTGGGACCGCAGCGGCCGCGCGCGGAGGTGGGAGTGCAGGTCAGGCAGTAGGCGCCGAGGGTGCGGTAGAGGTTGTGCATGTGTGTGCGGGTTATAAGGGAGTGTTTTATGATGGAGAGGGAGTGGTGGAGAGCGGAGATGCGGAGGAGCATTTGGGGGGTTGCGCGGGGTTGGCGCTTAGGCTTGGATGGAAACGAGGGGAGGAGGTCAAGCCATGATGCGTGGGTTCCTGTAGGTAGGGCGACTAGGGCACGTGGCATGGCTGTGTCTATGGGTGGTGAGCTATTCCTGCTCTGTCTGAAAGAGCAGTTTATGAGTTGATAGTGATGTATTAATATTGAGGCCTAGATAGTAGTACGTGTTACGCCTGAGAGGACTACAGTGTAGTGTGAAAGTTTGGATCAGAGGGACAATACATTGTGTTAAGGCTACAATGGCTCACTTCGAGAACATAACAGTCTTATCTAGCTGTCGCGACAGTAACGAAGAAACGTGAGGTGAAGATGTACAGTGTAGCAAACGATTGCGTTGTGGAATTGCGTTTGAGATCGAGCACGTGTTGGTGAACAGCGTGCTGCTAATCTTCAAGTGATGTGTTCGGTTGTGGGCGAGATGGTGATTGTATCTGCTAGATGATTGAGCTTTCGAGCCCATCTTCTTCCGTATCTCCTTCATTCACCTCCGTCATCCTCCTGCAACATCTACATCAATGCGGTAGGAATTCTCTTCTCCCCCAATATCTGATCAAAAGTCGTCGCAACGCGACCTTGCTGTCGCTCCAGTTTTTGGCTTCCAACCTTTTCCTCTCGCTCCTCTTTGGCCACTCGATGGCTTCGCTGTTCCAGGGCAGGTAGCTGCCGTTGAGACGAGTTGACCGGCTCTGGACCAGCCACAGGGCTGAGCGGAACATCTTCGAAATCAGGCGAGTCGGAGAGCTTGCCGATATTAAACGAGAGCTCACTGGGTGTTTCATCGAAGCTGAAGCGGCGTAAAATAGGTGGCGTGCTCCCAATGATTCGTATAGCTGGAACCTTGGAAGAAGTCTTCGCGCGGACGTGGGTGTTCTGCATCGTACTGTCGCGTCTCTCGGTCGCAGACCTTTTCTCTTTCGTACTGCTGCGCTTCACAGCAGCTTTGCGACTCAGTCTGACGGGGTTACTGCGAGGGCCAAGAACAGCGTCATGGTCCTTAGCGTTGTCGAGTGGTGCATCCATAACGGTGTCTGTAGTTCTTTCGATGCTAAAACCCTCGTATGTTCCCTCTAGCCGTGCAGGAGCACTTCGGTGCTTTTCAGCTTCCGTATGTGAAGACCATTTCTGTTGGACGCCCGCGCTTGACGGTAGACAGGTGATGCGCTGCTCATACCTATTGTCGTTCACGAACCGATCGTACCGCACTTCAATATTGCGGTCACTATTCCACCTTAGAAAATCTTCGAAAGGCATCACGCTCTTCTGAAGTGGTATTTCTCTTGATGCCATGTCGATATGATGTGGGTATTAGTCGACGGTAGTAGCGGGAATATATCGGATTGCTCATTACGGTCGCCTTGCTCTTCAAATCCACACGTTGTTTGCGTACGAGAAACATCGTGAAGATATGGTGTTTTCCAGAAGTTTGCGCAACATGGCGAACAGTGTGTGATTTCCGAGATTCGTCACGTATCTTCGAGAGTCGTGTAGAGGAGTTATGCAAGGTCCTCAGTGTCCGTGATGGATATTCCGTAAGATCCAAGGTGAGAACAAATGGTATCGCGTCTCTCAAGCGTCTTTCTCTTCTCGCATCCTCTTAACCTCCGCTTCCACCCCCTCCACACCCATCGGCACCTTCCCTCCCTCCCACCTCTTCTGCTCCTCCCTCACCCACCCCTCCAAACTCAACAACCCCACGCACAGGAAACCCAAAACCTCTCTATCAGTATCAAACACCTCCCACCACTCACACTCCGGCATCTTGATCCCCGTCTCGCGCGCCGCAAGATAAATCCCCGCCGTCGCCAACTCATGAGGCTGGTGTGTCAGGTAAAGGCACTGCGGACTCAAGAGCGCGGTATTGAGATGCGCGATTGCGCGTTTTGCGAGTTCAGAGGCGCGCGGGTGGCTGAAGATGTCGAGGGCTTGCATGTATGTTATACACAGTGTGTAGGGGAGTTGGACGTGCGTGTTGAAGCCGAGGGTACGTAGGATGCGTTGTTCGGTTGTAAACAGCGTTGCGCGACGGCGCTCGTATGTCCCTTCGCTGACGTAGTATCCCTTTGCGTCTTCCCCCGTTTTCTGAAGCTGTTCCATGTCGAAGTACGTCGCCGGCAGCGAATCGAGATACGCGTACACGTTTACGAGACTGCGCGCTGACTTGGGATATGCGGAGAGCTTCGTCGTAAGGTACAGCGACGCGGCTGAGACTTGTTCTGCGCCGAACTCCGCGAGACTGCCGCCTTCGGGACCAAGCCAGAAGCGCATGAAGATTACGATGGCTTGCGCGATTACTTCTTGTGGGAGGCGGAGCAGGATACCGGCGGCTTGCGTGAGGCGCGCGCCGGCGAAGCGGACGGAGTCTTCGAGCGTGGGTGGGATGCCATCGAGTTGGGAGCCGGAGGTTTCGAGCTGGGCGACAGTCGCCAATGGGTTCGCGAGGGGTGAGGGTTGCATTATGGAAGAGTCGGAACGATGTACGAACGAGCGCGACGGCGTTGTGGTGGTGTGGAAGCTTTTGCGCGGAAGGATGTTGGGGACGATGCTGTGGAGCTGGTGGATTGGAGATGGGTGAGCCTCGGTACACTAACCATCATCTTTCTTAGTCAACGACATCAACTCCACACACGGCAGAGACATATTACGAAGGCCCATTTTGCGATCTTTGTTGATGGAAGCCCTCAGAGAGCCGGATCTGCTTGCGATATATTTGCTGTGTTCTCTCAAACTTCCATCAAGAAACCGTCTCCTTAGCTCAATTGGGAGAGCGCCAGACTGAAGTCATCAGTCACTAAATCTGGAGGTATCGTGTTCGATCCACGAAGGGGACAATCACCGTGCTTGAGTTCGCTCAAGAACATTCGAACCATTCTTTTTGCCAATCTTTTGCTCTTCCAACGGGCTTCACCGCTCAGTAGACGATCAGGGTACAGGGTTGAAGGGGGGCTGGGAGAGTAGGTCCGTTACCCCTCTCTGCTCACTGCCTCATTTTTTTTGTACATATCAAGCGAGAGGGCAAGCGAATGTGACAGCCATTGCGCTGGTGCCACGTACTCTGCATACGCCTCACGATGACGAGGTGGATCTCAGGATCTCCTTTGGCTTACTTGCTCGGGGAGGTGGTTACGGTTAGGATGGGGAGTTGAGGGGCGATGGCGTAGGCACTCCAATCGACAAAGAAGATCAAGACTCGCTATGTTTTCTAACCTGCACGTTTGACCCTAGTGTAGGCTGCAGAACTGCTCAGTCACTTCTTAGTGTGAGGCGTAGATTTAGGTAGCCTCATGGTTGTCTTGGCTTCGCACACATAATTGGGCTGATATTCAAACACGATATCTAGAATTCCAGACATGTTTGGCAAGTATTTGACAGAAGTATTTCAAATCACTGTGCTGCAACGGGCTTGAGATCAATTAGTCATACAGCATTTGGAACAAGACTGGTGTATGCACTGTCAAACATTCTACAGCAATAGGATGGCATAGATAGCAATATCATTACGGTTCTCGACGACAAACAACTTTTTGACCTTCCCCCAACTCTCGCTAAACTACATCACATTACATCACCCATAGCAAGACAATCTCAAACACTTTTGAAGTTGAACAGAAAGAGTACAATAGGATTAACTCAATAAAATAACTGATTAAACGAGGGCGTAAAGGGTGGGTATCTTGCCGGCTAAATGCTATCCAAAAACCGCTAATCAACACGACTAATACACACAAAAGAAAAAGAACCCTTCGCGGTTTTTCGCCCGCGAAAGATAAAAGGAGGGAGAAGGGTAACTCTAAACATTCCCAAAGCTCAAAATGACCAACCCAATAACCGAGAGAGAAAATAAAACAATCCGGTGTATAAATCCCAAAAACGCAAAGCCCAGAAATGATGCTGAGTGAAGAAGAGGAAGCGTGGCGACTAGAATGAGATGTAAAACCCAGATCGAAAGCAAAAAACGCCGGTCGTTATGTGTGCAATAGAATGCGATATGATCTAATCGATACCAATCATGGTACCATCGCACCTCCACTCATCCACCTCGACATCCCGGGCAGCTGTGTTGGTAGCTTCGGGGTCGATTTGGACGTGAGTGAGCCAGGTGCCCACACGGTTCTGACCGACCTTGCGGCCGTCACGGGAGAGGCCGGCCATGGTAGAGGAGGTGACGACAGGTGTGGATGCGGGTCGGACGCGAGGGGCGGCAACGGGGGCAGGCGCGGGCGCAGCACGGCGTACGCTGCTGCTGGTAAAGAAGGCGCCACGTGGGGTTGACGTGCGTGGAGTAGATGTGCGTGCTGCGGTGCGCGCAACGGATGCGGGCATGGAGCGGATGGCGTACGAGTCGTTCATGTGGTGGCCACCTGCGTTACCGACGCCGTACATTTGCACCTCGGGCTCGGTGCGGCGGATGGAAGAGACGGTGGGCGTGGGGTTGAGGTGCAGTGAGTCGCGGAGGTGAGCGGACAGGCGGCGGGATTCGGGTCGGGGGAGGTCGCGTTCGCTGCGGTTGCGTGGGGTGCGGACACTGGGGCGGCGGGCGAGGGGTGGCGAGGGCTCGTCGGGGATTTCGATGACTTCAACATCGGCGTAGCGAGCTTGTTGCGGGTAGGGGACGCGCATGTCGTTGAGCTGGTCGCCGTCGGGGATGTGTTGGTAGTTGAACCAGGGGCAGCTGCAGGTCTTCCATGGGGCGGCGCAGACCATGCAGAATTGTGCTGTGCAGCGGCTGGGATGTTGTTAGATAGTGTTGTGTGAATGTGATATAATGAACGTACCAGGTCATGTGATTGCAACCTTCCTTCAGCTCGACTACAGCCTTGCAGCTGTAGCATCGTTGCCAGCCCTTCTCCTTGGCCATCTCTACAAGGCGGTTGGTCTCCTCGTCCTTGGGGCATTCGCGCTTTGTGTGGAACTTGCTGTTGCAGAGTACGCAGACCTTGGTGTTGCACGTGCTGCAGCGTGCGTACTTGCGACCGTATGTCGGGTCCATCTTGATCTTGGAAGGCTTGATCCACTGACCACACCCTTTCGTCGGGCAGTATAGGCGGTTGGCAGTGGTGTACTCTTGGAACTTCCGGTTCCATTGGACCTTGAACTTGTCATCGAAGAGGCGGTCGGCATACTTCAATGGGATGTGCTCTGAGGTGCAGCATCGTGGTGGCATGTGAGCAGGGTCCTTTACGGAAAGGGTGAATTGGCGCTTGAGGCACGAGTAGCACATGCGATGGCCACATGCGAGCTTGACGGTCTTGGTGATGGGTAGGTCATCGTTCATGCACACGAGACAGTCGACCCTAATTGAGGTTAGCTTTGTAGGGGTAACGTGACGGGGATACGTGCGTTTTCTCTTCAGCCTTGCGCGAAGGCGTTCGCGAAACTGGAGGCGCCGCCTTGGAGAAGAAGCTTGACAAGATGCCCCCGGTGCTCCGACGGGCAGCATCCTTGACCGACTGCGTCCTGGTGAGTGGCGTTGGGGGAGGCGACTTGACAGTGTTGCTGCGTCGTACTGTCGGCCTGGGCTCTCGTTCTCTGGCCGAAGTATGTGCTTTTGGCTCGCGTGTAGATGAATTCCTGGCCCTCATTAGCTGAGCTACGTGTACAAGTGGAGACGGGACTAACCTGGTCAATGGCGGAACTTCGACCCTGCGGACTGACGCAGATCCAGAACCTGAATGCGGAGTGTAGGCAGTCCTGCTAGAAGAGCCGCCTTCCTCGCTTCGCTTGCGCCCAGATGCTCGTCGCACAGGGACTTCCTCAACGTGACCCATGGACTTGGGGCGGCCAAAGACGAAGTCGTCATGGTCATCAGGTATCACTGCTCTCTTGGGCTTCCGCGTGCTGTCCCGTCGCACCTCCTTCTCACGGCTGCTCCGTGGCTTTTCCTTGGCCGGAGTACGTTTGCTGTCTGATACCACGCGATCGCGGTCGCGCCTCTTCTCAGCCTCGTTGCGTGAGTAGTAGGACTCTCTGCGCGCCCGGATGTCCTCAATGTCGACCTCGGCCTGCCGTCTTGCCTCCTCTGCCCGTCGGCGCTCTCTCCTTTCGCGTGTGGAAGCTGTGGGTTCGTCGTCGTGGTCGCGGGATTTGTGGCGGCGCCGGTGCCTCCGCTCTCGCTCGTCGAGATATTCGCCGTCGTCACGGTGTCGTGTGGCCCGGTCATCGCGTCCTCTCGCCATGCCCAGCCAGGGCATGCGGGCGGTATTTTATCTGCCTTCTGCCAGCCGCGCAGGTCACAGGCTCATTCACGCTCTCGCAAAACTTGAGGACGCTGTGCAGGCGACGCACAAAAGCGAACGGGTGTGTGGAGAGTTGCGGTGGGCGTGACGAGCGAACAGCAAGCACCTGCAGGCAGCCCAAGCCGGATCAGACCAAAGTCGGCCAGTCGCACGGGGCAAGCCGCCAGCGGTGTGCGCGCACTGGGTGCCTGTTGATCGAAAGCGTCGGCAGGGCTCTCGCTAAGGCTCTTAGTCGGCCCAGGGGCCGTCGTCAGGCGTCGATGCCAGCTGTCTCACACGCGCAGATGATGTCGTTTTTCCGCAGCAAACCTGCCATCGGAACCAGCGGGTGCACTGCTATCATGCAGCGTTGCGCTGCCGCAAAAGTATGTTCGTAGTGGACCAACTTCTGGCGTCGCACTGCTTTTTGGGGCAACGTTCGGGCTGCGGTTGAGTCTTAGTGAGATGATCCCGCCACAGGGGTTCGAAGATTTATTGCAGAATCTAATCGCGGATATGCAACGGCGCCCAGCGTCCTCAGTCCTTCTCGAGTGTAATTTGGGTCGAAATTTCCCATCTGTGCCCGCCGCTCCCGTATCCGCCGCCCAAGCGGTTCCGCACCATGCTGCCAATGCGATCGCGCAGGCGCCCAATTTCTTCCAAATTCCGCACTCGTAGTTTGAGGTTCGCCTGGCAGAGGCCGTAGTGTACCTGCCAGAACTTTGCCTCTTCGACCGCCCTGATGGCTGGGTCCGTCTCGAGGTCGTACATAATGTCCGAAACGCCGGGCCCCGAGTAGGACATGAGCAGCATCTTCCCCAGCGTCCATCCCTGAATCCACCCCAGCGCTACCATGGAGAACGCTACTGAAAATGAAAGGGTCCGGTCAAGCCACACATACATCTGGATGCTCAGCAATGGCAGCAGAAGGAGCAGTGTCGAGCACGATAATGTCAGAAAATGCGAAGGGTTGCTCAGCACGGAGGGTAGGTTAGCGATGGCGCTCAGCCTCATGACCTTGCCGATGCGCGCATGGTTCTTCAGCAGGATTGCCGAGACGAGTGTCGAGACAATGCCACACAAGGCAGCAAGATCAATGCTGCCAGGCGATACTCGTTCATGCGTGTCTGCATGATGGGCCTCGTGTCCTCCACTGTTCTCGAGCGCGTGCGTCAAGCCATGCGATATGAGGTCCAGTCCCATGAACAGTAGCCCAACAGACATGCCCAGTCCTGCAATAACCTCCAGACGCTCAAAGCCAAACGGGTGTCGTATGCTTGATCGCTTCCATACCTCGAAGTTGGATCCAACGTCAACGGCCACACACAGGAATGCGCCGAGCGCATCGTAGAAGATCAGTCGCGACAACACTGTGAGAGCCAGGGATTCGTGCGCGCCCCACTGTACGAGACCAGCGACTACCAAATGGCAGAAACACCATGCCAGCCTCAGTTTCTGATCCTTGGACATGGACGAGCGATACTCTTTGAAGGTCGGGATCGGGAGCGAGGCGGGGAGCTGGAGCGGGGCGCGCGGTGCGGGTTCTAGGAAGATCTGATGCGATACACTACTGTGCTTGTACTTGTGTCCTCGTCGTCGGCCGATATCCTGCGAAAGTTAGTATAAGCGCGTCGGGTTATATAGAAGAACGCACATTGGCCTTTGTTTGAGGTCGACCAGGCTGGTAGGCGATAGATTGGAAGTTGAACGGATTGGGGTTCTCGGACCCGCTCATAGAGGGCGCGTCGAGATCCATGGTTCCACTGGCAGCACTCGCGGGTGTCTGTGGAAAGGTCGCGCTCGCGGGTGTATACAGAGTCGCCGGCGACGCCCGCTGCGAAACTGAGTCACTGGGTCCGAGAGTAGCATACTGCTTCGAGGGAAACGTAGCCGACATGGGCGACAGCAGCGCATTGTTGTTAGACCCCGTATCGCCCATAGCCAGATCGCCTCGGAATCCTAGTCCTACGGGCTGGGGCGCGTTCTCGTCAGGAGGCGGCGTTGGGGTCCGTGGTGGAGCTGGCAGCGGCATTTTCGAGGCCATGACGGTGGTAAATGAGTGACGGTAATGAGTGACGGTTAGCGACAGCGCAATCCAGGCTTAACGAGATAACCAGCGCAGTTGAACCCCGGACGGGAGGTGGAGGGGAAATTGAGGGAGGCCTTCTGTATGCGGCGGCCCATACTCGGTGAATCGACCAATCCGGCCCCGACTAGCCCGCATGCAAGGGAACGCTACCCTTGGTACCCTAGAGCGCAACATGACGCTGACGTTGACGGTCTGGCTCCGAAACATGACACTTGATTCACCACCTCGGTCCTCAATGGCTGTTGACGCACGTGGGAACCATGCCAGACGGAAACGGTGCGCGCAATGAGGGGCGTGCTGAGGGAGCGGATGTGAAGCACGAGGCGGACGGCGCGTCTAGCCATAGACGCAGCAAGTCGGGAGGCATACTGGGCGCCTTTCTCAGGTCCTCTATGGATGCCATGGGGAAGGCGCCATCGACACAACTAGGCAACGACGAGGAGCACGATCAGGATACGGAAGGTGCGAAGAGGGCGTCCTCCATCGCGACTGCCCTGCGCCAGAGCCAAGGGAGGCAGCGAAAGGGATCCCTTAGGAAAGCCGCCATGGCCAAGATGCGTGAACGGAGCAGCTCTCTGCGCAAGGCCAAAACACCCACAATCACCACCACCACGAGCTTAGACCCCTCGGACGAAGGCTCGGCTCCAGGCCGCTTCAGCTACGAAAACGCTCCCCTCAACTCTTCGTCCGACAGTGGATGGCTACCCGCTGCCCGTCTGTCCCCGTCGTCACCCGCGCTTATTTACACCCCACCCGATGGCCCTGAACGGCCTGCTCCTTCACTACTTGCATCACCCATGACGAGCCCGGTCGCGCCTTACGCTTCGACTACCGACGAAGACGACACCATGTCCTTCTACCGCCCCTCTCCCGCCGGCAATGACTTCTCCTTCAGTGGTGCCAACCAGGGCTCTGCGACATCTCTTGCACACCGCCGTTCAACTCGGAGCAACCGACGCACTTCCATCTCGGCAGTCCTGACACCTGCCGAGGCTGACCCCGATGACGAGTGGGATTACAGCGAGACGGAGTGGTGGGGCTGGGTCGTGCTCATAGCAACGTGGATTGTTTTCGTCGTCGGCATGGGCTCTTGCCTCGGAATCTGGAGCTGGGCTTGGGACGTGGGCGAGACACCGTATGCTCCACCCGATTTGGAAGACGACGCAACCCTGCCCATTACGGGCTACTATCCCGCATTGATCGTTTGCACGGCAGTCACGAGCTGGGTGTGGGTTGTCGTGGCCTGGGTTGGCATGAAGTATTTCCGCCACGCCAAAGTAGGTGTAGACGGCTAGTAGCCTCCAGAAGCAACGCACCAAAATAATCACCCACCACCGATCGCATGAACGTACCAAGGTCCTGGGAACGCCTTCTCTATTCTAGTGCTTTCGCTTAAGCGTTCCGCCATGCGCAATATCTTCTTGGGCTGAAACACTAAGCTATAATACCTCTGTTAAGACACATCATAGCCTCGCTATACCGCACTCTACGGTAATACAATTACTTCTTCTGCTATTGTTTCTTCGATACTCGCCCTAATAACTGCAGCTACCATCTCAAATATTGGAACGGCTGACAGAACAGCTGACAGTTTTGGCAGAATAAAAGCTGACGATGCCGCTTCTTTCTCGCATTGCTTGTCGTGATTCAGCGGCTTGGACCACAATCTCCGCGCCCGGCTCCTCCTCTCCACCACAATCCTGCGACCCCGTCACTCGGTAACCAGGGCCGTACTGAACATGGTGCGAACACCTCGACGACACGGTATCACCCTGCAACCTCCGATCCTGCAGGACCTGCAGCGCGGGAGCCAGGGTCCCACATGTTGGTGCAATTTTGACAGTAGTGTAAGATGAAGGCAATTTCCCTGTCCAGGCGACTTCATAAACAAAATGGTCGCCAACATGTGGCTGATAGGAGCAGATTGTATTATGCAATTGGTCTGTGATGGCCGCACCACAACGTCGTCGGGGAGGTTCCATGCTGGAGGAGCTACTACCAAGTTTACTCATCCTCAAGGGCCTGGAGTCTGGGGATATCTCGAAGAAAGACGCCGAGCTCAGTCGCGCGCTTCACGGGGTACAGCATGAACGGCGGCCGAGAACGGTACCGCCCCGGAGGCCTCGTCGCGTATCCAACGCAGTCGTGACGCAACGCATCACCAACGGCAGGCCCTTTCGCTTCTTCGAACTACCGCAGGAGATCAGGGATGAAGTCTACTCACACCTCGTCGTGCGCAGGACATCGCGCTCTCTACCCATCCTCGACGCAACGACCATACTCAATGACCGGAAGAAACGCCTGGCCGCACTCAAGTCACGGGAACGGCTGAACCAACGGCGACTTTCGACAGGAAGACGCCCAGTATGTCCCAGAACAGCCGAAACAGAACCACTCCTGCACTTGGAACTGCTCCGCGCGTCTCAAAGACTGGCCGGCGAAGCAACGGACTGCATGTACACCAACAACTGGTTTGCCATCTCCCTCAACAAACTGCCCGTCCCGACCTACGACATACCACACGGCTGGGATCTTTCACGCGTCAAACGACTACAAGTTGAGCTCCAGCTGAAAGACGCTATACGAATGAACCGCTACGTCGACTGGGCTTCTTTCTTCTCCGCGTTGCCATCGTTACAGTTCCTCCGCATCGTGCCCACGCTGCATCCCCGGTACTACGAATGGTCGCACCCGGAATTCCATGAGTGGTCCACAACACCATTCGTCCACAAGGCCTTCTTCCGGGAACTGCTAGCCGCTATACCAACCTATGTAGATCTGAAGATCGGCCGAGCGATGGAAGACACGAGCGATGACGTACAGATGCAAGGCGAAGTCTTTCTGCATCGGAAGTATCTTTGGGATATGTATGCAGAGTTGGGGAGTA